ATATATTTGCTTACTTGACATACACTAAAARTAAATTTTTGTAAAGTACAAGATGCTAGATAATAAATACAATGTACTTACAAATAAATAAAGATGGAAGAGATTTAAAACACAAGATTTCCTTCCCATTCCCTTTGGCTACCTATTTTATTGTTGAGAATTTGCTATTTCTGTTGCATAAAATACATATACAATAAAATGAAAAATTAGGAAAATACTTTCTTCTAGTGATTACGATAATTTTTTTTTTAAAGTCTGGGTAAATGCAAGTATTAAATTTTATCCGTATATTTCTGGAATAGTTTATCTTCAATTCTGAAATTAAGGTGAGCAAAGCATTTAAACTTTCAAATGGATATGATATTCCATTTCTCTACAAATTTGAATTTGAAAAGCAAACTTATTAACATAGTTTTCATATTTAAGGTTATCATTAAAGACATTTTATTAATATRATCTGGAGTTAGGAGATGCTGATACTCAAGAATCTTAATGATAAAACAAAATTGTCTAGTATTCAACACAGCTTCCAAGTRGGTTTCTCCTGCCTCAGTTCTAATACACTAGAACTTTTTATTCAAACTCTTTAGAAGAGAAATTTTGGAGAAATTTTGCTCTTCTGGTATGGTTGTTATTAGTAGACAAGCATGGGGGCCTTATCAATGGTGTTTGCATACATGCATGTAAAGCACAGTTGCCACACTAACATACTCTCCACTGATGCATGTTTGCACATTTTAGTGATAGGAGGAAACATGTAAGATGAACATTAATAGAGTCCTGAGAACATAGTGAAAATACCTTTGATATATTTTTCAAAATTTAGATTTCATCACTCTGAAATGCAAAAGTCAATCTGAAGCAACACCTACTTTTACTGATGCCCTGTTTACATGTATTACAGTTGATACTTTGGCTCTGTCCATGCGTCTTTAAGTGGCTGGTGATGTATGCTGCACTCAGGAGCTTCCCACAGATATTACATGATACCTTGCCTTCGTGGCGCACCATGTGTGTCCGTAGTCTGTCTTTGGTGGCAAAGGCAGCAGTGCATGTCTGCATGAGGGAGGAAAACTTTTTTTAAATATAGACTATCCTGTTCTACTCATTTTAAAGTACGTTATATTCTATGCATTACTCTACCCATGTCAGCCAGCAAGTTGACTGAATTAGTTGAATTTTAATTGCATGTGTTACTTAGAATCATAATCATACTAAAATACTTGGTGAATTCTAGACTATTCCATTTTGGTAGAAGAAAATATATCAACACAGAGTAGAGAAAGGATGTGAGAACCAGAATCAGTTAAACCTGGATTTAAATTAAGCTTCACCATTCACTAACCACTGTAATGTTGAACAAGTTAGTTAACCTATCCAAATCTGTAGATTTGGATTACAAAACTATTACAGGATTTAAAAGCCTGGCACACATAGCAGGTATTCACTCAATGACATTAGCTTCCTTCCTCCAACCAGATATTTCTTAGAATTCAAATCATTTACTTAAAAAAAATCAGTCATTTGGGCTGGGGTTGTGGCTCAGTGGGAGAGCGCATGCCTAGCATGTGTGAAGCACTGGGTTCGATTCTCAGCACCATACATAAATAAATAAAATAAAGGTCCATCAACAACTAAAAAAATATTTTTAAAAAATTTAGTCATTAACAAACATAACTAAAGCAGACTTTCTAACAACAAATTAGGATTTGTTTAGATTAGTGATATTTAAAATAGTCAATTAATTTAACAAAGTTCTTAACCTTTTGATTATCATAACTTATGTCAAATAAAATTGTCAATCTGAAGAGCTTTCAACCAACTAGAAAATGTTCCAATTTGGTAACATAAGACAAAAATCTAGTCAATAATCACATTTGGAAGAAAAATTCTTATTTTCTCCTATTACAGTTAAAACAACCTTGACCATCAGTCCAAAAATCAATTTAAAACCTTTTATAAAATTCATTTTAATTATACAACAACTTTTGCAAGATTACAACTTTCACCCTCTTATACCAAAACCGCTGTTTCACAAGGAAAGGGAAATATAACTTAACAAAAACAACACTTACATTTTTCAGTGATCTTGCTTTATAGAAACAGAAGCTGTCATTTATATTTTATAAAACTAGAATTCAAATGGACCACATTTACTTAAGTCAGTGATTTTACACCTTTTCAAGAACGGCGAGATTTGACTGACTCAGACTTTCTGGATAATGTGCATTAAGTGCTACACTAAGGATAAGTCATTTTAACTCTTACTTGGCATTTGAAGGGTCTTTCTGTTGAATGGACATGTTTTACGTGACAGCTTAAGTGGTCAGGCCTGTGAAAGAGAGAGTTTCAATAGAAGATGTAATGGAATACACACAGAGAAATGTTATTTATGTGATGCTTACGTGCTTGAGATTGAGGGGGAGCATTTTAAAGAAAGTAGCAGAATTACAAACTCCACCTCCCCCCAGTGCAATCCTCCTTACCTCTCTTACCATAAATAAAAAAAGTCTTAGTTGTTTACCTGTTAATTTTCTCCTAGCCAACATCAAATCATATTAGGTCTTGATTCTTTACAATCACAAAATACCCAAAGTTTTAGTCCTAACATTTACCAGGAATGGTTACTACCATATTAACTCTAAAAATTTTTTTAAAATGCAATTAGTGAAATGTTAGTGCCCACAGAAAAATGGGAAAACATTCTACAAGTTTTATTAAGAGTATCCAAGGTCATCCCAACTTCCAGGAAATAAGTTTCCTTGATTTGCACAGTAAACCTCATGTCTAGTTGCTCAGCTAAATTGGAAGCTTTTGTAACGATAAGAAGTACCCACATGCTAAATGAAGGCCTGAATCTGAGGGACTTCTTAAATGAAATAACAAAACTAATCACCATGACACCACTTGTCAACCACACCAAACTGGAATCAGACCTGGAGGCGTAATATTTATCTATCATCAATCTCCTCTAATAACACAGGCCTGCCCACATCTATTCTCATATACATCTCCTAGATCACACAGAGACAAAACTGAAGTTCACAGATAACCATAATGAAAAAAAAGGAAAACAAAAACAAAAACAAAGCAAAACGCAGTACCTCGAGAATCCTTTCCCACAAACACTGCAAGTATAGGGTTTGGTGATGCCTCCTTCATGAGACCTCACATGGTAAGTCATCCGGTCCTTCCTCTTGAAGCGCTGATTACAAATAGGACACTCGAAGGGCTTTTCGTCCGAATGAGAGAGCTTGTGCCGATTGAGGTGATACACATCTCTAAAAGCCTTCCCACACATCTCACAAGCATGGTTCTTCTTGACAGGCTTACTGGGTTTCTTGACAGACTGGGTCACAGGCATAGCTGTGGTGCTGGCACTGCTACTGGGGTTGGTGCCCGAGGAAGATGTAGTGACTGTAGACAAGATGCCTGCAATGGTGGAGACCAACGAAGTTCGGCTGCTGTCCCCTGCGATGGTGGAAATAAGGGGAACCACCGTGGTGGGGGTTTTCTTTGACCGGGACACCAACTTGATCCCTGTGTGGCAGGACTGATGGCGCCTCAGGTGATAGCTGTCCCTGAAAGCTTTACTGCAGTAAGTGCACACAAATGAAGTTTTGGGTTTTTCTTTTTTAATCCCAATGGCATCCTTTAATGTTTCTGGTGCAGCCTGAGGTTTCTGAGTTATTGGTATTGGAAGCAAAGGTTTCTGATCAGGGGGCTCCACAGCAGAGCTCAGGAGGGGCAGCAAGCTGTTCTGTGCTGCCTGCTGTTGGTGATGGGAGGCTTCATGGGCCTAAAACCAAACATTTACACTTGAGAAACTCAGGCTCTCACAATGACCTTCAAAATTCAACATGTTCCAGACAATACAGACCAGAAGAAACAATAGAAGAGCCCATGACTCTCTGCAGCAGAGATCCAGCAATCACCTCAGAGCTCCAAATACAAAGAGTTGAAAATCACTGTGCAGACACAAAACTTTTGCAACTAAGTTGCTGACAGTGATCTTGCTTTCAAATAGCTGACTGAATTACAAACTACTCTGGTTCATAAGGGGCACAACAGCTGATGAAATCAGTTTGCATTTGTCTGAAATCAAGTTTAAATAACTTGTCAAAAAAATTATACCCCAGACTTAAGTATTTAATAGCAGTACCTTACTGCAGCAACACACAAACACACACTCATACACAATGACATAATCATCTACTTGCCTATTACCCAGTAAAGGAAAAAGCACCACGTTCCTCCCTTTCCATCAGCAGAAAACTTTTAAGTGACTGAGTTATTGATATTGGAGGCAATGGTTTCTGATCAGGGGGCTCCACAGCAGAGCTCAGGAGGGGCAGCAAGCTGTTCTGTGCTGCCTGCTGTTGGTGATGGGAGGCTTCATGGGCCTAAAACCAAACATTTACACTTCGCTGTTGCTAAATGGTGAAAGAAACCTAGCTCCCAAAATACATATGCTAGTTATTAGTTTTAAAGTTTTCACTTTATTAAAAGATTTGGTTGAAATGACATCTGCTATTAATCAACCTGGAAGGCATCTGTGAAGGTAGCCCATGGCAAAACACCTGTCACTTGTTTCTCAGGTCATTTAATCTTCCACTAGAGTCTGTATCCTTTAGCAACACTAGCTGTTCAAACCCTAACTCAAAAACAGATTAGTAAAACAAAACAAAGCAAAACAAAAAACTGTAAACACTTAAGTTCCTTTCAAGTCCATCTTCTTCCAGCAGTTGTAGGTTTAGATAAAGTTTTATATATTTGCTGTATACTGTGCTTTTCCACTCCAAAACTGGGGGCTGGACCACTGTCTGGAAATTTTCTTTAGCTGCACTGAAACCAAAATTTCATCGTGGATCAGGTTCTTGGAATCTGAAGTTACTCTCCTGGTTTTGATTCTTTCAAACTTCTCCACACCTCCATATAGACACAGATTTAGAAAATAATGGGGAAAAAATCTGAACTAGTTCTTTAACAATATTATTTTGAAGCCCTTGAGAGTAAGCCCAAGACCCCATACTTGAGTTTTGTAATCCTAAAAGAACACGGACACCCAGAGGTAAGAGTTCCAAGTATTTTACACATACAATGTGCTAGGAAGGGCACATCCCATCATCTTAGATACTTTAGACTGTTATTTACCCTTTTCACTYTATAATCATTTGATCAGCTAACCTCATTAAAGAAGGAAAGAAACAAGGAAACACACTTACACACAGCTCCTCCCCTGATGGATAAGAACATCTACCATACTCCATGTTTACTTAATGGCAGCACAACAGCTTAGCCTGGAATTATTCTTCCCAAATGATAAGGAGGTGTGGTATCCAGAGTTATCAATTTCAATTTAACAATTCTGATTTAAATAAACTTTGGGTCCTGGAAGCACTCTCAGAAACTGATTACTTACGAGTATCTTTCTAGACTTAAGGCTTATATTGAATTACAGTCCACTTTTAATCTAATTTGTGGAGTTCCTATAACTGTTGGGGGTCTACCTACTAGGTGACATTAGTAAAACTACTGAATTTGGACTCTAGTATTATTTCTTTTCCAACCTGGTTGTAGGATAACCAAGTTTCAATACAGTATGCAAATGGTTAATAGTTGAAGACAGCTCAAGATATACAATTTCAAAAGGTGACAGATCAGACGGTAGGGAATGAAAATCTTTTGGACACAGTTCAAACTTATAACATTTGAGGCATTTTTCAATTCTAAATAACCATTAGTACAATGGAGTACTAAAAGCATTTACTGCCATTTTACCAATTCAGATGTCTGTAGCAACATAAAGTATTTTTACAGCATTGCTGAAATTTACTCTCACACAAAGGTCCTATCAGGTCCCTGCTTCTTGGGTGAAATGCTGTAGAACCACTACTGGAATMATTTTCTGAGGATTCCTTGGATTCCCAAGCTTCTACATGTAGCCTTCTTAGAGGGGAACTGGGTTTTCCCGACTTGCCATATCTACCACCCTGGGTGATGCTTATTTTTAAAATATAACTTCTAGGGAGGTTTTCATATGACTAGCATCATTGACTCAAAGTTTTAATTTTATCTCCTCTTTCAAATGCAAGGATTTTTTAGCCTTGCCCAAGCTTTCCTTTTTCTGGGGCTTGCAAAAAACAAAACAGAAATGTTWTTTCATCACCCACGGTGGTAGATATGGCACCATGAAATCTCCAGTGCCAGAGGGTAAAGATTTTGTACTGAAACAAATTAGCATGAGTGAGTCACATCTTGAATGTCCTGTTAGGAGAACCATCCATCAAACATTTTAACAGCAATGGCTTTCACTTTCCAAGTTATCTGGAAAGCAAGCAGGTATTAAATTGCTTTAAAGTATAAATTCAACAGGATGCTCCAGGAAACAAACAAGAGACCCTAATTCTCCATTTCCCCAGTGAAAGTTACTTAAAAATCAGAACTGATTAAGGTTTATTCATATCTTTTTATAGGAAAGTTTGAGATATTTTTACCCACTTAACTGTTCTCAGCTCTAAATTGTTATCCAACAATTTTCACTGTGCACATTGCCAAACCCAGGATCAAATATTAGCTTTCACATTTCTCCATCAGGTGGAGAAATGATTTTAAGTAATATTTAAAAAATCAAGTAATACAAAATCTTATTTAAAAGTTGATCAAGAGGGCTGGGGGTTGTGGCTCAGAGGTAGCACACTAGCCTAGCATGCATAAAGTACTGGGTTTGATCCTCAGCACCACACAAAGTAAAATAAAGACATTGTGTCCACCTATGACTAAAAAATAAATATTTWAAAAATTGATTAAGAAATACTAGTCATTTGCTTTGTCCAGGGAAAGAATTATAATTTTTTAAAAGTGTTATAAAAGATATTTTTAAAAGCTTTTCAAAAATGAGTTATGTATAGGTTATCCTTTTGCATAAAGAACTTGGTTTTTTTCCCCCAATGTCCAGTAATTTTATAGTCACAGGTTTAATACAGTTTTAACCACGTGAAAATTACTTCTAAGGCCCATCAATCCTTTATTTTAAAATGACCATCTGAACTTTTTCTAGAGAAGGCATCTGACACCTTTACCAATCTGGATGCCAGCTAGTTAATATACTCTTTCTTTTTCAATGCATTTTTAGATTGATTTATCACATTAATATCAAGTTCATCAAAACACAATAAAACAATATTAAAATCAAAGGGAAAGCTCATGAATTCCATAATTTTGAGTACTTTTCAATTTTAAGAAGCCCCAAAATATTTGACAATTACTTAAAAATCAAATTGCCCACATTTGAAATATACATCCTAAAACAATAAGCCAGGTCTACACAAAAGGTGATTTGAATTCTCCAATTCCCTATATTAACTCCACTGGGATGGCATCCGAGGCTAGACGGATAATTTGAAAATTCTGCATCCGTTCCTGGTTAGTTTCGAAAGGCCTCGCGCCAAAGATTCGCGTTGGGGATTTCACGAAGTATTCAAACAAGGAAAATAACTGAGAGAGGCGGGAAGGACGCACTTAAAAGTGTCGAGCTTCCTAACCTCCTCCGGTTCTGAAGTTTCTTGGTTCTGAAGTTTCTCCGTTGAGCTCATCTCCACTGTCCACTAAATGCTTCGTTTGAAAATAGAAACGAAGCAGAAAAAAAAGTTCCAGCCTAGATCTTCCAAACAGGGGTTCCCTACCTAAAGTGGGAGGGTTAGAGGATAGTCAACATATCGGCAACAACCGCTTTTAAGTTTCTTGCAAAAAGCGAAGACCAACACCCCAATGAGTGACTCATCTAGGGGCTTTGTAAGCGGACTTTGTTTGCGCTCTCCGCTTTCGGTCTCCCCACTTGGCTGGAGGAAACGTTGGAGCCGGCCGCGAGAAAAGCGCTCCGGGAAAGGTCGGGCCTCCAGGAGTCCCGGCCCCCGCCGCTCCCCCGCGCCCCCGCCCCGCCCGGCCCGGCCCGGCTGGGGGATTCCCCGAGCTGAATGCGACGGCGGGAGAGATGGACAGAGGGAGAGGGTGCCAGCTGCCACGGCTCGGCTGGGGCTTGGGAAAGAAAAAAGAAACCCAGTGAAAAAGTTTGGGGAGGGGAGACACAAGCACAACACCCCCTTCTAAGTGGGTAAACACGAGGGGGGCGGCGGGAAGGGGGAGTGGCGGGGAACCCAGGGAAACCCGCTATTCCGCAGGATGTAGGAGGAGGTCAGAAAGTCAACACACACGCACACACACAAAAAGAGAGAAGAGGGAGGGAAAGAGAAAGAAGTGCGAGTGAAAGATGGATGAAGTGTGTCGGGGGGAGGAGACTCAGAGTAGGACCCGGGGACCCCCTCACCCCACGGTGCGCGGCCCGGGCCAGGCGCGCAGTGACCGAGGGCCCGCGCTATCCAGCGGCCCGGCGCCCTTCTTTCTCTGGGCCGCGGGGTGGTGACAGCCACCGGCCTCCTCCCTTCSCCTTCAGAGCGGGAGGGAAGGGTGTGTGTGTGTGCGTGTGTGCTGGGGGGGGCCCGGGGTTCACCCCGAGGCCTGTTCTCTCCCCCGCACCCCGTGAGGCCGCCTCCTTTCACCTCAGCAGCCGGGCTCCGCCGGGGCGGGCAGGCGGAAAAACAAAGGGGGATTAAGGCCGGGCCGGAGAGCGGAGCCGGGAGGGAGGGGAGGAGGAGCGCCCGCCCGCCCGCCCGCCAGCCCGGGGCCCGGCCCCCCTGTCCCCCCCGGCCCCCCCGGGGGGGCCCCCAGTACCTGGAACAGGAACGCGGTCCAGTTGGCCTCCATGGCTGCGGTGGCCGACCCCCCTCCTCCCCACTCCCCCCGCTCGGGGAGCCTCCTCAGCCGGAGGAGGCGACAACAAAGCGGCGGCGGCGGCGGCGGCAGCGGCAGCGGCGGCTCCTCAACATGGCAGCGCCGAGCGCGGCCACTTCCGGTAACCTCCGGGACGCACCACCGCGGCGGCGAGCGCGGGCGGGGGGGGAGCCCCGGCCCGGCCGCCGCCGCCCCCAGTTGCCCGGACCCCTTCTGAGCGTCCCCGYTGCCGACTCACTGCCTCGGAGCTCAGCCAGTGCCCGCCAGCGGTGGGGTCAGGGCCCCCGCGGGGGGGCTGGGGTGGGGCCGGGGGCGGGGATGGGGCGCGGCGTCCCCCCCCGCGGGGGTGTGTGGTGCTGCGGTCCGTGGCTCAGGCAGCTGGAGCAGGGGGAGCTCAGGAGAGA